TTAAAATCAAAACACATTTAACATTCATTTAACAAATGAATTATTTCAAATATTTAACATTTTGAAGCTGCAAACATTCTTTGTGGAAGAAGTATAGAGCCATGCTGGATGGTACACGGGCTGCATTCAGAAAGCAGGCGTGAACACAAGGGGAGATTTGGGGAGATACCAAACAATGGCAGATACATAAGTTATATCTAAAATGCCTACAAAGTCAGACTTTATTCAAGGAGCTTGGAGTGCTCTCAGACAGCTTCCTCATTTGTTTGCTCTGCCACTATTCTTCTATTCTACAAATACAGGAATGGTGACAGCTTCTCAATCATGCTCATTTATACTTCAGGGCTAAAAACTCACCTTTTCTTGTTTAGATCTGGCTATCATCTCTTCAATGAGCTCTTTCCTAGACTTAGGCTTTTCCTCTTCTTCATCTTGCTGCTCACTTGATACTTTTTTACGAAGGAGGCCTCCACCCCCTCCAAAGTGAGCAGCAGTTAATTCAGCTAGGGGAAAAAAAAGCAGGATGTGAATCATTCAAATCCACACATGACTGCAAAACTGCTGCTGGGACAGTATCTCCCTATTCTCTGAGAATGGGAGCAATTTTGACTATTGAACCAATCAATCATGCATTAATCTCATCCCTATGAGAACGGCCATACCAAAAGAGATGATGTCAGACACAATTTACACTGACAGACACTTGGGATGAGGTAGGATCATGGTTTTGCCCGGTATTTATCCAAAAGGGAGTTCTAAAGATGCAAGAAAGCACCCACAAAACTCACACTTTAGATTCTGGCCCAAGGGCTCAAAATCCAGGTACCTGTTTATGCTGAAAAGCTCACAGAGTAAAGAAGCCTGCCAGTCCCACTTAACCCCTGCTAAAACCCAGAGAACTGGTCTGTGTGTGACTTAGAAGTAATCAAACCTGGTTTACACATTCCAACCAAGAACATTCTCTCTCACTGAGAGGCAGTACTGAACAAATGATGTACACATTTAGCAGTAATGAAATTACCAGTGGAACACCAGCTGGCACTTCTCACCTGAAAGTGTTCCTCTTTCTTCTGTGTCACTGTCACTATCAACAATATCATTTAGTTTTTCAATTTCTGCCAAAGATTGGCCATAGTGAGTCAATTCCTCATCTTCATTAAGATTATAGATATTCTTCTTTCCATAATTTTGCTAAGAACAGAAAAACAAACCAATGAAATACCAAAAGATCTTTAGTTCCCAAGCAACAAAATAACACAGCCCTTAGTTTCAGTGCTAGTTGAGGAGATTCTTATTCCAGTGTTTTGCTGGAATTTAACTGGAATAAGAGCACTGCCAGTATTTCCATTCAAATACATTTTAAGTGAGAGAGTGCCATGTCTCTCTCACACTAATGCACAAATGGACTAACCCAAAAAACCTAGAGAAGCTGAAGTTTTATCTGTGTATCAGTAACATCAATTTTTAGCTACTGCACTTCAGGCCTAATGAAGCAGATTTCAACCTATAAAAATGACACTGCTTAATTCTGGAGACTGAGTATGATGGGGCAGAGAAGACAGTACTGCACATTCAATTCACAGTACAGAATGACAGCAAGTCACAGAGTTCTGCTCAGCTACTGAATATACTTGATGGTGACCACCTTTTCCTAATCTAACTCCAAAAACAAAGCAGTCAAAAAAACCAACTAATCAATGAATCTGCTTATAACTAGCTTTTGTGCATGTCAGTGCTCAAAGAAACCTCTGCTTCAAACAGCTGTCTGGCAAAACCAAAAAGATTTAATTAAAAAATTTCTATTTCCACAAAAAATTCCTTTTTTGTAGGTTCTAAACCCATAAAATAAAAAATAAAGCATTACCCTGCAAAACCCTCTATTAAGGGGGCACTCCCAACCTAAAAATTCAAGTGTGCTTTGTGGCTTTGTGTTTGGCTTTCTTTTGTTTGTGTTTTCCTTCTTTAAAATCATTTACCTGTCTTTCCAGAGTGAATCGCCTGATCATCTTTTCCTCAGGAGTGATTTTGGTGTTATACTCACCAAAACGTTTATCTTTGAACACATTTGTCTTTTCTCTTTCTTTATATTCTTTCAGTAATGTTTGATTGCGCTGGAAGGAAAAAGACAAAAGGAGATAAAATTCAAGGAACAGAGAGTAACTACTTCCAAAAGTAAAGAAAGACTCCACAGTGAACATAATACTCTTTATATTGCCATCATATCATAAATAATCATTTACCAGAATGCAATGAAAGAGAAGGAAAAATTAACATGAAGATGGGAACCTCATGCAATACATTCAGATTAAGTTCTCTTATAAGCACCCAAGGGAAGATAAGATGTTACACCATATCTCACCTTTATTTTATCACATTCAAAACCTGTGCATTTACACTGCAGAATTCTGACATGTCTCAAGCTTAATAAACAAAGAATAACATATTAAAGAAAGCAAAAAAAGCCAGCAAAACTCAGCTGAACTTTTTTTGGTCATTTCATCTAAGACATAAAAGCCTCAAGTGGATCCACACATCTATCCCTGTGTCTCTGTTCAGTGTGGGGAAGTCAAGCATCAAGTCAGTAAAAATAAGCTTGTCACACACCTATACAAGGTACTTACTGCGTGCTCTACTTTTGGGACAGGTAAGGAGACAGGTTTGCTTTCCAATGCATAATTAATGAGAAATATCTGATTTATCTTATTATTAAATAAAACCCCAAATCCTAAAATGTTCATGCATTCATGAAGTTTTCTAAAATCTTGACTAATAGTAACAAAATCTGGAAGCTAATTTATAATTTCATGCTGAAAATATTATACAGTTTCTAAAGAAAAAAAATGTTGGCTGTGTTTAGGCCAAGAAATATCCATTTTAATTTAAAACACATTAACTGATTCTTACAGAAAGATACCGTGCCATTCATATTACCAGAAGCTCACAAAGTGCTGCACTAAAGGAAAAGGCTGGGTTTCCTACTCCTGCTCCTTCCTACTCTGCAGCCTCACTGAGCATTCACAATTTCCATATGCTGCTGTAAATGACACTAAAACTCAGATCCCATCTAATATTGTGCCAGTTCTACCTTCTATTTACTTCTTACAGGGACCACTATACATATTGTAATGTGCAATATGTACATATTTATAATGTATAATGTGTACATTATACATTAGTGTATAATGTTCATTTATCCTCTCTCTATAGCTGAGACACTGTATATGAGCATTAATATCTCTTAAGTTGGATATCAAAAAGCATTTCTGTGCTTTTTTTTTTGTACTCAATTATTTGATTACTTCTCCTATTGATAAAAAAGAAAATACTTAATGCATTACCTTTCACAGTACACGTAACATGATAAAACATCTCTTTGTTTTCACTGCATTTGCCCTTCCAGTAAGTGCTTTAAATTCTGTTCAACAACAGCATGCATGTAACACGTCACAGAATCTCTGGGACATACTCTCAAACTGCCTCTTTTTCAGCTTTAACTTAACCTTCTCTGCTGGTTTGTGCGAGGTGACACACCACTAAGAAGTCCTGTGTTTCACCCAAGAATAATGCAGGCTGCTGGAATCCCAGATGCATTTTATGACACACTCTCCCTTATGCATCACATATTTTGGTCAGGTAGCTACTGATGGCAATAGAGAAAGAAAAAGAGGCATTCTGAAAATGGTACAAGGGTTGAAGATAAAAAAGTTAGTCTTCTTAAGTGGTATGGTCATTCTTATGACAGCAGGGAACAGATCATTACATCCCAACATAGTTCTACAACACGACTATTCAAGCTGTGCACAAAAAATGACCTGCATTTACTTCCCCTATCAACAGTAGTTTCTTTGTAGCTACACATTTCTCACTGTATCCCGGCCTCAGTGCTCTTTCAATATTTCACTATTATACCACCATTACAACATTATCAAGAAGCTGAACATCCTAGAACGACCAGAACCGAGCAACGCCATGAACACTGACTCCGGTCGAGTACTTACCGACAACACGTGCCACTGTATCGTGGACGTGGGTAACTTGAGAAGAGAACCATTCCCACCAAGCAATAAGGCAGAGCTGTACTCCTGAGCCCTGGGGTTTGCACTGGCCGGAGCCATCCCCGAGCTCGGCACCACCCCTGAGCACCGAGAGGGGACCGGCCACTCCTGCTGTGACAACAGCGCTGGGCGCTCATCCCACCTGGGAGGGCTCCAGCCTTATCATCTCCCACATCAATATACCATTCTTCCTCCGTGCTTTGCGTGTCCTCTTACCTTCTTGATGGCCTTGGACCGTGAGACACCCGGCAGCCCCACATCATTTTTGGTCTTCCTCCCCAGGATGTCAAACTTCTGCCTGTTGACTTTCACCTCAAAAGGGTTGCTCTTGACCACGGCCATGGCCGACTTCACGGGGCCCTTTGCAGTGGAAGGCACTGACGCCTTTTTCTTCCGCTTCGTCGCCTTCCCCATCTCTGCTCCGGCTGCCCGTGGGGACGCGGGGGGAGGCAGCGGCTCTGCCCTCAGTATGCGGGGCCAAGACTGGAGCTGCAGACAGGGAGAGCAAAATGGCGCCGAGGGGGTCGCAGAACTCCCCGAATTTCCCCTTGGCCTGACCCCGGCCCTCAGCCACAGCTCCGTGAGAGCCGGAGGGGAGAGGAGCGGCGGAGAGGAAGGAGAAGGGAGAAGAGAGAGCAGCACAGCCCCAGCGCGGCCCTCACCCCGCCATACCCAGCACTACCACATGCGCACCGGCAGCTGGCCAACTCTCGCGAGAGCCCTGCCCTAGTACCGCGATATTTATCACCCTGCTCCCCGCCCGCTTTGGGCTGAGGTCGGGGAAGGTCTGACGCACTACATATCCCAGCAGGCCTATGAGGCATCGCGCGCGCGTGTCCCCAGCGCACACCGCGCTCTGCCCGCTGGGACTTGCAGTCCCGGTGGCTGTGAGGGGGTGGCAGCGCAGGGGCGGTGCTGCCTGCGGCGGGCGGAGGAGCCATGGCCGGGGCGGGAGGGCGCTGCCTGCTCTCCGTCTCCGCCCTCGGGGAGGGGGAGCGCGGTGCCGGGGCGAGCAGCGGGTGATGGGGAAGAGGCGAGCGCAGTGCTGAGGTCCTCTTGGGCCGGATGAGCCGAGGCTTGGCGCCGCGGCGGTGGCGGGGCTGGAGGAGGGGGCGAAGGAGGCTGTAGGGGCGGCCCCCGCTCCGGCTGCCCTGAGGGGAAGGAGCCCCCGACCATGGAAATCGAGAACATCGTGGCCAACACGGTGCTGCTGAAAGCCCGGGAGGGTGAGAGCCGCGGGGCGAGGCGAAGAAGGAGGAGAAGCGGGAGTTCGAGGCGGGGCGGGCTGAGGACGTCTGGTGGGGGAGGAAAAGGGTCTGAGGTGAGGGGTAAAGGGGCCCGCGAGGAGGGGGAGAGGAAGTGATGGAGGAGAAGAGGCTGGGGGGGAGCAGAGGCTGCCGGGCAGGGGTCGGGGGGGGGCGGGGCGGGGACCCCTCGGGGTGGCGGTGGGAGCCCTCCCGGGGCGGGCAGAGTCCCGGGCAGTGCCCCGAGGCACCTGCCCTGCTCCTCCCGCGGGATCTGCTCGGAGTTACCGGCTTGCGGCTTTGCTTCTGAAAAAACACCCCTTCCTCCTTCCCCCTTGGTTCTAATAGTGTTTTTACCGGATGTTTTAAAAAGGTCGTTAATCTGCATGTTCTCGGGTTGTTTATAAATATAAATGCCTATAGATATAAACGATAAAGTGACATAAATCTTCTCTGGAAAAACCTTGCGCTCCATCTTGCTGAAATTCCTGCCTGTGAAAAACGTAGCTCTTGAATGTGACCTGTACTCTGCAGTCGAATATTTTGTATTATCCTAATCCAAAAGTGTGCTGTTTCCCATTAGATTAACAGTTACAGTTTGACACCCCAGAACACCTTGAGCTGCAGATTCCTCCCCCCAGCTAACAAACGTTTTGGGTAGATAATTAGTTTTAGTATAGCACGTGGCTGCTGTTTGAAAAAACATCCTGACCTAAGATTGTCCTACTGCTTTTTCGTGTATATAGCTGTCCATTAAATGGCCACTTGAATGTCTCCCTGGATTACCAATGTACTTTGTGCAGAGTATATTTTTTCAGCTTTGAAATGTGCATATTCTTTTTGGATTGGATCCTCCTTGTCTTAATTGTGTTGAGAAGTCCCATTAGTTAAGCTGGAGCTGTTTAAAGTGAGTAAGAGCAGCAGAATCTGCCTCTGTATGTTTTGCAAGTTCCTCCAACTCTAAATGGGTTTGGCACTTACGCCATATGTGTATCCAGTTAAATTTGCCTTAAGCAGCAAGAGAGGAAAATCAGCTTTTTGACTTTGAAGTGGGGTTTAAAAAACAGAACAGTGATCACAATTTTGGGCCATTTTCCAGCCTTAGCTGAAGAGACCACCTCAAACTAGAGGACATGTTTTGGCTGGTTTCAGTGACGGTAACATGTCTGTGGTGGTGCTGCCTGAATTTGGAATTTGCATTGAAGTCATCTGAGAAATGAAGGGAAAGTGGAATCTGGCTCAAAAACTTCACTGTGCCCAAACCCTCACCACAAAGAGCGGAGTGGTAATCTGCAGAGGCTTTCAAGTGGATGCTTAATGTCAGGCTGTCTCTTTAGTTAAGGTTTCACTATGTTTAAAATAAATTATAGTGGTAGAACTGACCAAACAAGATATTTTAATGAACTAAATGAAAGTTTGAGAGCAGCTGATGTGAAGATCAGTTTTACCTGCCATGAAACTTTAAAAAGTAATGGTAATAATCTGTTACTCTCTTTGTACCTTCAGTTGGCCTGGGCTCTGTTGTGTAAGCATGCACACAAAAAGTGAATTCTGGCTTTGAAACTCTAGAACTCCATTGATCCATTGGTAGAAAGTCTTTTACCTTTTCAGGTCTCAACCCCTGTGCATGGGGTACTTTTTATGTCACATTTTTCAAAACCCTCTTTGAAAAGGAAGTATTTTCTGTCTGTTGCATGCTCTGGCTGCTCTGGGAATGTCTGGTTTACTCCATTTCATAAAATCCCTGCCCCAGCTCTGTTCTTATGTGCCTTCCATTGCCAGGCAATGGGATTTGTGAAGTTAGTGTGTGACACAGGTGTTTTAATATATTCTTTGCTAAAAGGGCCTCCCAACTGGGACAGAAGAGGAGACTTTCAGATTACTTTCCTTCCCACGTTGCTATTATCACACTCTGTAGTGTATGGAAAGGTGGGATAGCATGGAAAAGTGCACAATTATTTCTTGTGGAAGAAAGTAAATTCTAAAGCTAATGTACAATAGCAGCTTCCCTTATTTTCATGTGTAGGCTTTAGCCATGTCAGTAATCCTTCTCTGTGTAGGTGAGAGAAGGTGTTCACCTGGATAACAAATTAGTTGTACAAGCAAATAACATGTAAATGACTCTGCTCTTATTCTTTGTTTGTGGTGCATGTCAAAAGAAATCAGGCTTAGTTGTGGCATGGGTCAGTCCAACTTGAGACTCTTTTCTGATGAAGATGAGAGTACTAAAAGGTTGTACCCTTGAATACATCTTTCAAAGTCTTTTAACCCCAGAGAAATGTCATTTGCCTTTTGTAAATATAGAAACAATAAAAGATGTGTACCTGTCCACTTGTGGTTAAAGAGTATGACAGGTGCCTAATGGGAATGTAGAAATTCCCAGTAAATAACCAAATCTTACCTGAGCACATAAACTGGATTTGTACACATCATTTTCCTCTAATTTTAGGTACTCTAATACTTCTGGATGTGACTATCATTTGGGTTTTACATTTGTAGGTGTGGAGAATCAGCACACCTTGAACAGCGAGGTTCATGTCTATCATTTAAATCTGATTTGATACATAGAAAGTAAATTTGTTGTCTCTATGTTATTAGAGAGCAAGGAACTCAGGTAAAATGAGTCTGTTCTTGTTACTTTCTTCTCTTATACAATAAAAAAGAAAGTGCTCTTGCTTTGTGTTTCTAGACTATCTACCTGCTCACTCAGTCTTACTGTTGGATTATTTCATTAGAGGTGTGAATCTTCTAATTCAGTTTGTGTGAGGATAACATCTGTTTATAGGAGTTTACTAATTCCATTTCACAGGTCATACAAAAGCCCTAGCTTCCCCCCAGCCTCAAAAGTTTAAATTTTGTCTCTAAGAGGATGTTCAGAGCTTTTAATAACACCATTTAATAGAAGAAGCTTATCTCTTTTCAATCAAGGTTTGTAATGTCTCTGTAGCAACTGCAGCATCTCTTCATGATAATAAGAGAAGCCATCAGGATTCCTTATCCTCTTTTCAAGCCACTTGGTAAATAATCAAATGCCAGTTCTTTGTACCTGTGGGTGTTAGTGATAACATAATGTATGATTCTTGAATGTGCCTACAACTAGAAGCTGCTATGATGGCACGAAGTACCCTTTGGCACTCCATGGATGAAAGATTTAGGAGTTGGGAGCTGTCCTGGGAGTTTTTCTTTCCTTGTTTGGTTTTTCAGTTGACCTGCTTCTGCCAAAACTGGCCTGTCCCTGGAGGGATTTGCCTTCAGACCAAAGCTACAGTGCAAGGTGTTTTGGGATTCCCTGTCCCACTTGCCTGGGGGGTTGCCTGAGGGTTGTGGCCCTCTGTGTCAATCCTGCTCTTTCCTCTTGGGATACATTACTTTTTGAGGGAAATCTGTATGTGGGAAGGAAAAAGGGGAAAGCTTCCTCTGAAGGTGACCCCAATGGTGGAACAAGTGCCTACTGCTGAGGTGACTCAGTAGGAAACCAGGAGATTCTAAAGCAAACTCAAACTCGATCTTATGAGTGCAGAAGTGCAGGGACTGAGGTACAAAACCACATAAGTATTTAGTGATAATGATGGATGAACTGAGATTGCAAGCTTTCACACCAGGCACTCCATGTTCTCCTTACTCAGGTTTGTGTGAGAGTAGTGTACAACAATATGTTTTCTAGTTGTGTATCAGAACAGAGAAATTAACACATTCATTTTTTTCCCAGCAAAAAAATATTTGAAATTAGTTTCACTTGACGGACATTGAAGAATTTGTCCCATAAATGGAGAGAAATAATAAATATAAACAAGGTTATTCTGAAAAACAACAGTTCCACCCCCAATTTTTATTTTATGTTCACTTTTCTCTTTATTTTTATATCTTCTGTTTTTATTTCAATCACTCTCAGTGAATCCTTTGAGTAAGCCCTGAATTCATTTCAGCATCCCACACATAGTCTGTGATGTTGGGAAGGAAAGAAATTAATCCCTGTATGTTTTAAACTCCTTAGGAGCCTTTCTTTTTTCATTGCCTAAAGTAATAGTCTCAAAAAAATACACCCAGAGGGTCGGTGCATCGTTCCTTTGAAGTCAGTGGCAGCGTACTCCAGGTGAGGATCTCTGCCAAGAGTACATTTCAAACATACCTGGTCCATTTGCATCCCCTTTAAAATTCATGTGTATTACTGTGGCAGGAGCAGTTTGGGAATGAGAATTGGGTCTGCTGTTAGGCACAGAAAACCTCTGATATTATCACTGATTTTGGCTAAATTAAGGTCATGCCTCAAATAAATTTCCCCCCAGCTCTTGGTTTGTATGGTTGCAGCCTGTGGTTGCAGAATGGCTGAGGCAGTTGCCAGCTGGATCCATGAACCAATCTAGGGTATGTGGGTTTTTCAGGTGGTTTTTTCCTTATGTCGCTGGGTTTTGGGTTTGGGGTTTTCTTCCCAAAGTTGGTTTTCAGATGAATCAGTAAGCTCCTGCAGATTTGATAATTGCTAGGTGCAGTCCAAGGATGGATTTAGAAGGAAGGAACTTTTCAGTAGCAGAATGTGGTCACAGTTTGTCTTATATGATTCCTGTAAGATACTTGTTTCAGAATAATTATCTTAATGATGTATTCTTCACAGAAAATGAGCAGTCCACTCAAATAGTGAGCTTTATCTGTCTGGGCTTGAAAGCAATTGAAATCATTCTGGAAGCAAAATAAATCCTAATTTTGCCTGCAGTACAAGGCAATATTTCAGTACAGTGTTGATGATACAAGGAAGGTATCCTATTTTGTGTTTGTTTGTAACTAGGAAGGTAATTCTATGGAGATTGCTCAGATCAGTTTGGGTATTGAACTGAACTGAATTCTTTAATTATTTCAGGGGTAGGAGAAGTGGGAAAGCAAGGCACACTCATGCCCAGAAAGTCCACCAGCAGCAAATACAAATTTTAACATGAGAGTGCTGAGAGTTTTTGTAGTTGCCTTCAATTGTTGTCAGTTCTTCCCTC